CCAGCTCTCTCCCCCCTCCAGTCTCTCCCCTGCCACAACTTTGATGTTATTTGGCTTGTTGTTGGGAAAGGCAGTCCCTGGGGCTAAGAGTAACCTTGCTGGTCATCTTTCCTGCCCAGCTAAGCCAATCCCTGACCGGGGCCTTGTGCTGTCTCTTGAGTGCTTCCCCATTAAAGGAGTGCTCCCATAGGCTTCTGAGCACTGTCAGGGCTTCAGGTCTCACAGCCTTGGTCCCCTTTTTCTCTGGCCACAACCTTAGCCTTTGTACACTATTTAAGACAGAGGAGGGCAGAATGCAGCCCACGGGCCAGATGTGGCCCACCAGGCCATTCTATCCATCCTGCAGGACCTCTAAAAAATTTAGAAAATTAATATTCATCTTCCCCTGGCTGCCTGTCATGCAGCCCTCAATGGCTTGACAAAACTCAATAAGCAGCCCTCCACCCAAAATAATTGCCTGCCCCTGGTTAAGACCTTGACTCCCATGTATTGGCTCCGCCTTGGTGGCAGCCCCTCCTAAAGTTCCAGTCTCATGATGCCCATCTCCAACCCTCTGGCTTAGGGCTAGCTTCTGGCACATATAGCAAGGGAGTGCCACCTAGGCATTCCTGCTCGTGCCCTCCTCTACTCCTATAGTCACAAGTTCAAAAACCCCATCTCAAAACTCAAAATAGAACAAAAACCCAATCTAGCTGCTTCACAAAGCAAATAGTCTCCCTCCCTCAGGTAAATGTTGCCTGCAGGCCCTAAATCTGTCAGAAACATTTCAACCCAGCTTCCCTGGATGGCTTGGGCGCCTGCCTGTCCATCTCCAGAAACCCCTCTCTCCCAGAAGCTCTACTCCCTGCTGCAAGCAGGGGCTGCCCCTTGCATGGTCAGGGACTGGGCTTAGATCCCTCAAGCCCAACTTCCTTATGGCCATGTAACCAGGTCTCCTACACCCAGGGACCAGGTGCACCTAATTGCTTCATTAGCTGCCTGTCCTTTTTTAGTCCCTGGCTCAGTCCACCAGAGCTGTTACTTCTTTTGGCCCTTGGTTTCTTACCTTCTCTGGCCTTCCTAGTAACTGGGTCGGGGTTCTCTATTACAATAGGAAGAAAGCTCAAGTCAAGGTTTCAGTCCAGTTGTTCTATACCTGGCAGTGCCATAATATGCACCTACCTTGCCTGCTGACAGACACGGCAGATCCAAGCCTTCTCCTTCTTCTGATAGGAGCAGCAGTTCTTGCAGATATTATACTTGCAGTCTTGGCACTGCCGCTTGCTATTGATGAGAAAAGTGAAAGGGGAGCAGCAGCGAATGCAACAATGCTCATTAAACTTCTGATGCTTGGAAAGGATACTGCACTTGTTACCCTCTTCATCCAGCTTCTGCTTCATTTCACTGTAAGAAAGGAGAAAAAACCAATGAAACTGATGTTCTGTCTGGAGTTCTCTTTGTTCCCCACTCTGCTCCTCCAATCCCTGCGTCATGCAACAAAAATAACTTTTGTAGGTGTAAAATGCACGTCAGTAATGTTTATTCCAGGCCAAGAACTGGGAAAGAGGGGGCTTCTGCTTTCTAATCTTTTCTCTAACTGTGCTCCTGGGCAAGTCATTTAGAACTCTCTGGACTGTGTCCTGAAGCAAACCACTTGACTTCATTCAGTTAAATTGAAATAACAGAGAGGAGAATGTACAGCATTGCTTCGGCTATTCCATATGGAACATGGGGTTAACAATCAGTAGGTTTGCTTGAGGATTCATTACTACTTTTAGAACACTCTGAGGATGAAAAACACCATAAAAAAAAGTGAAAGCGTTGGTTGTATTGTGTTAAACACAACCTCCTGATTAATGAATACCTTTGAGAATAAAAGCATGGAGTTTGGTTTGTTCTGATTCATGGGATCATATTGTTCGTAATGGCTCCAATTCAACCAAGCATTTAATCACATGCTTGATTTCAGTGAGAGTTAAATGTTTTGCTGATTCAGGAACAACATTTGGCCAACTGCAGGTTATTTGTGAAAATGTTTGCAAACCCCAAAAGTTCCATGAATATAGTAGAAATATTTTCTTGTCCAAATGTTCATAGCAGAAGTGTGTTATTTATTATTATTGTTCTGTTCATAATGCTTCAGTCATTCATAGCAGCGAGCAAACAACAACAGGAGAGTTAAGCAAATGACCACATAACGTTAATAACAAAAAGTGAATAGAGATTTTAAATACGGCATAACCTGCAAATTATTCATGGAAGGCATCTGGCACATACAATTAACAACACTTTAGAAGAAAAAAAAACAGGATTCTTTCATAAATAACTGGCTAAATAAAATAGAATTCTACAGAACAGTATTAATAATGAATATTTTGGCCACCTTTAATGACTGGTAAATATTTATTTAACATTATGGGTATAACACAATAAATTAACAGAAAAAAGTCCCAATTTTCTGATTTAAACTGAAATCAACACTTTTTCCATGTCTAAATTATTATAATATTGCTTAAAGGAAAGATGCACACCCCCCCCTCCCCAGAGATTTGCTTAGGATTCATCATCTTAACTGCCATTTCTGCCTCTAGTGATATAAAGTGCATACTGTTCTCTGGCTTTGGCATTAAACAGAGTCCTATGGGCACATGAGATGTTTTTGAAAATGTAACACTTCCAATCTCGTTAGCCACTGGCAATATTGATCTATCTTGGAGCAGATGAAGAATACAGTATTTTTTAGTTACTCCTGACAGGCAGACCACACATAAGCAGAATGCCATGCAGTTCCCAAGAATAGGCTATAACAAACTATTTCTCCCAAAAAATATATATAAATAATTTATTTATGTAGATGTCCAGTAGAAATATTAGAGGTGAAACAGACATAAGAATTTCATGTTAAGGGAATATGGTTTTTTTTAGTATGAACATACTTACTGGATCACATTAATTTCTGATGCAACTCCATGAACTTGAGAGTTATGCCAAAGATGAATTGGGCAATTATGTTTAAAGAGTGTGCCAGACTTACTGTTTTTAAAGGTGGATAAATAAAGGAAGGTAAATCAATTGTATTTGACATGAGTGATAAAGAGCTATATTGCAGCTAGCACTTACATTGCTTCATGTACCAAAGGAAAATGATAAAATAGCATCTTCCCCCTGCCCCCCTTGCCAAGAACTGCAGATCCTTTATTTCTCTGTAGAACACAGGCAATGCATCCCAGTGGCTTTCTCCTGGGAGGAGAGTGAGGAGGATAGT